AAAACAGGTTGTATTGTGTGATATAATTTTCCAATCAATATGTAGCAACCACATAACGCTTATGTGGCTACTCAAGATTTTGGTTGACTTAGCTCTGCCACGTCAATTTCAAGGTAACCAAACCCCTAACAGTCTTTTCCTTACCTAGGGACACAGTTGCTTATAAGAAAGATGAGTAGAAACAATGTAACAATTCACAACTGTGTAAAACATGCTAACATCATCTTGGTATATAAAAGATAATGGACAAGGATACTTACATTGTGACAATGGTAGGAATAATGATGAATGGTGAGCAAGCACAGAAATGCAAACTAGGATCTATAGACTATCCAACTGCTTTCAATATAAACTCTCTTCACATAAATTTCAGAGAGTAAGCTACCAATAGCTAAACACGAAAGAAATGAAAATTTTCTATTACATAAGGGATGCATAAGAATAATAATACAAATTTTAAGGATGTAAACAAAAAATATGGTGGTCATTTTTTGGTTATTGCTGTTTTAGGTTTTTATGGGGTTTTTGGTGACAACTTATGAGAGTGTTGCTAAATTTAGAAACTTGTGCACTTTAGGACTAGGGGAATGGTTGTGTGAGGGTGCATATTTATTGAGCACTAAGTGCCAGGTACTATCTTACAAATCTCACATATGCTATTCAACTTAATGCTTGCAATATATCCATGAAGTTGAAACAATCATCCCCATATGGTCAAGGAGACTCAAAGCAGGTAAATAACCTACAGAAGTTTACACTGCTAGAAAGTAGTACAGCCAAAATTTTAAACATAATTTCCACCCCCAGCAGTCATTTTCCTATAGAACTCAAACTACATATAAGTTTTCCTATTGTCTATCAAGAGTGGATATTATTCCTCACCTCTGAAGTTTACTGTAAAACATTAGTTCATTCATAATAAGACAAGCCTAGAAATCGGGAAAAAAATGCCCTTTAATTCCCAATTATCATGTACCCATGGCATGTAAGATATTATAGATCTATTTTGTTAATTTTTCTCCAGACAAGTATAACAACTTGTTGAAGAATTTATGTCACTAGTTTCACCTCCAGAAAAGAAAACCTGTCTATTACAATAATACACTTAGGCATACCCATTAAATAAAGAACATTAAAAATAAATGTTCCCAACCCCCACTTCTAGTTAGGATGAAGTGAACTGCAAGAGAATTTCACTTTCAACTGAACAAGTGGAACAAACCAGTTAATCTATAAAAATCACAGTTTCTTAAAACTCATCATATTAGCTAAGGATAAAAAGAAACCTAAATGAACAAAATACTACAAAATAATGAGCCCTTTCAAGGAGAGAGATTCACAGCTAACTTTCAGCCTTGGTGGAACGGCAGGAAGAGGAAGAATCTGCAATAGATGTGTCAGGAAAAACGAATTAAACTTTTAACAAACTTATAACAGCCACATATGGGCTGGCATAATGGATTAATATACTAAGAAGTCCCAGTCACAGAGAAAACCTGAACCTACCCACCTACTCTTTCCCCACAGCCTTTATCGAATGCACAGGGATATACACTAAAAACCAGATTCCGAGCAGGAGCTGAGAGATATCATTCCTGAAGCATGCTGGACCTTTCCTTAGCATAAGGCAAAAGCCCATGGTAGTGGGTGGGAGAGAAGAGATGACAGAAATTCCTTCCAGGTGCTTGGGTCTTTATCCAGTGTAAGGCAGCAGTACCTTAAGAATGGTGCTAGGGCAAGACAGCTGAGATAAATCCCTGAGGCACTCCTGGCCTTCTTCGAAGCAGCCTCTGGAGTCTGGGGACAGGACAATTGGACAAGAGAGATCTGAGTTGTAGCAAACAGAAGAAAGGACTGAATGGCAAAGAGAACTCCCCAGCAATCGAAAAATCTGACTACTATATGACAAAGAGAGTTTGTTTATGGTTTGCTGTAGATTGTGAAGCTGCAGTTAGAAGAGGAACTAACGTAAATAAAAATAAAGAAGCATTAAAGCTCAAAAATCAATGAAATAAATGGACAAACAATAGAGAAAATAAATAGTCAAAAGCTGTTTCTTTGGGCCGGGCATGGTGGCTCCCGCCTGTAATCCTAGCATTCTGGGCGGCCGAGGAGGGCAGATCGCTCAAGGTCAGGAGTTCAAGGCTAGCCTAAGCAAGAGCGAGACCCTGTCTCTATTAAAAATAGAAATAAATTAATAGGACAACTAAAAATATATAGAAAAA